GATAATCAGCTCTCCAGTCCTGCTGCCCGTCGTCTCTCATCCAAGGTGACTCCTGAAGGTCGGAGGTCACCGACACCAAACACTGTGTCCACAGTAACAACGAGACCGAGACCCAGACGGAGGCCGAGTCCAAAACAATGAAGCTGCGCCGAGAAGTAAAGCGGCGCCGACAACCCAATCTCAACATCGTAACCCTGAGTAAATGAGCAGAGGAGGAGGAGGAGGAGGAGGAGGAGGAGATGCTCGGGTAGACCTGGAGACACAGCGGAGGTAATGAAGGAGTGTGGAGGAGAGCAGCGACGTCGGGGGAAATGAGAGGCAGAGGATGCTGGGAGACGCTCCGATGGTGTCATTACAGAGAAACGCTCCGAGTCTGAGGAGGAAACCAGGAGACACGTGAGCCCAGACGGACGCCAGATCACAATCATTTAATTGTGCTGCGGGGATGGTCGGGATCTCCATCAAGGTGGAGGCTCCGGGGATCCCAGATTCCATCTGTCAGCCAACCGGGAGCCGGCCGGCACGAAGCCGCTAAGCTAACGGACGTGAGCGTTGGTGCTGAGGCTGGCGTAACCACGGCGACGGACGGGCAGAAAGATGCAACGCATGATTCATGCAGGAACCAGAGAGGCTCATAATGACATAAGAGCAGCAGGAAGAGCACCAACAGGAAGATCTGACGGCTTCCAGCTCATCACAGCCTCTGAACGGGTTCAGAACAAGATGGATGGAGCTCGTTTAGTCTTCTGAACCTAAAGACGGGTTTCTTCTTTAAAACAACCAAAATGACACCATTTATCCAAACATGTAACAGAAATAGTCGACAGTCCCTGAACTCATCACACACTACACACCTACATGTACGCTTCAGCAGGAACATTCTGCAGGTTTTATCTAAAAATATGCTAAAACGAGGGTTTTCTTGTCTGTAAAATGTCTAAAATGTGCTGGAGGCGACCAAACCAGAGCTAGAAGTCTGGATCCATTCAGAGCCGGATCTTTTTTCACACAGAATTTGGTTTAAAGGTGAATGTAGAGCCTCAGTGTTTCCACTGTTATTTAATGTGTCGATTATTTCCTGGATGCTGATCAGCTTTCATAAAAACAGTGAAAAACGTGGATCAAAAGTGTTCAGTTTACCATCAGAAACCAGAAAATATTCACACTGAAGGAGCTGAAATCACAGAATTTAGATGTTTTTTGCGGGAAAAATGCTCAAATTATGATTAAAACAGTTGACATCCTGCAGCTGTAGCTTGACGCCCACCTGACTGACTTGTTTCATTTAGATTTTAGGTCACTGTTGGAGTTTTCTGAAGGTTCTTGAGTTTCTTGGTCTTTACGTCACTCAGCGCTTCTACAGAGCAACAAGTCTGGAAACTCATCAGAAACTTTTATTTCCTGTCATTCTGTGTCCGAAAGTTCACAACTTTCACAAAGTCGTCGTGTCTTTGTGCTTCACATTTCCGTTTCCGTCGCTCTTCCTCTGTGCAGCCCAACATCCAACTGGGGCTTCAACTGAAATGCATTTTTGCACGAAATGTTCTGAATAAACAACAAATAATCATTTTTTAACTACTTGTGTCGTTCTAACCGTGTCCTACAGACAGAAGACGGTTCTGACTTCTCCGTCCTTGTGCAGGACTTTGTGTTGCAGTGAAGTGAACAAAAAACCTCCCAGAAGCTGCTGCCTTCAGTTCAGGAGGTTAAAAGCTGTCGAGTCACTCGTGCGACTCTGCGCTGCTCCGTGGGAACCGGCGCTGTGGCCTTTCTGTTGGCGCCGTCATTAGCTCTGCTCGCGTGGCTGCGATGAAGTCGACCCAGTCGCCTGTGTGATCCAGATAATGTGTCTCCTGTAGAACATCATTAGCCAATCAGCCGTGGCCTCCAGCTACTGCAGCAGATGGACGTCGAGCGCCCGACTCTGGTGACAAACCGGCTGAACGTACAGTCCGACGCACTGAGGTCCGACTGTAACGACGGAGTCCCGACCTTCAGGAGCAGCTGTGTCTCCGAGCGTTGACTCCAGAGGTCTGAACCACCAACCAGCAGATCCAAGCCTCAGTCAGAGATTACAGGAATCACAGGTGGTCTTTGTTAACGGAGACTTTCTGCTTCAAACTTCAAAAGAAGGCGTCTAACGCGTCATCACAGGTTGTAGTTCAGATTAATTTAACCTCTGACTGTTTTTTAGATGCTGTAGAAGTTTACAACATCCAGTGTTTCATAAACAAGGAATATAAAAATGTATAAACACGATGTTGTACTACTGAGGTCTGACTCTGTCCCATCATGCAGGATGTCAGTTTCATTTCAACCAAATCAAAGTGATCTATCAGCAGTACAGATCACCATCAGAGGAAACAGACCAAACACAAAACATATTCATGTGATTTCTGCATCGCCGGCTGAATACACGTTGGTTCCCATGGCAACAGGGTGCATCCAGTGTGTGATGCTGCAACTGCTTCATTCAGAGGTTTTAGTAACGAACAGGTCAGCAGGTTTACAGATAAAACTTCATCATCAGGTTAAAGGGTGACGC